TAGGTAGGTAGGTAGGTAGATAGATAGATAGATATAGTATATTTATATGATATATATACATACAGTGTATATATATGTAGATAGAAAGATATATTTATTTTATTTATTTATTTATTTGATTTGTATCCCGCCCTTCTCCTCACCGGACTCAGGGCGGCTGACAGCCTTATAAAACAACATTACAACAAATATCAATATTAAAACCAGATTAAAAGAAAATATTTGTAAAGGCCAAGTCGTTAAAATTACCCTTAAAACCCCCACTAAAATTCCCTAGGCCAATCCCGCTTGTTGGAAAAGCCATGTCTTTAGGGCGCGGCGGAAGGAGGGGAGATCCGGGATCACCCGGATCTCTGGGGGTAGTTCGTTCCAGAGGGTGGGGGCTCCCACCGAGAAGGCCCTCCCCCTGGGGGTCGCCAGCCGGCACTGTCTGGCTGACGGCACCCTGAGGAGACCCACCCTGTGGGAGCGTACCGGCCGATGGGAGGTAACCTGCGGCAGAAGGCGGTCTCGGAGATATCCAGGTCCAATGCCATGGAGCGCTTTGAAGATGATGACCAACACCTTGAAGCGCACCCGGAAGGCCACCGGCAACCAGTGCAGCATATAGTATATTTATATGATATATATATACATACAATGTATATATATGTAGATAGATTGGTACGTACGGTAGGTAGGTAGGTAGGTAGGTAGGTAGATAGATAGATAGATAGATAGATGATAGATAGATAGATAGATAGATAGATAGATAGATAGATAGATAGATAGATAGATAGATAGATAGATAGATAGATAGATAGATAGATAGATAGATAGATAGATAGATAGATAGATTTAGAGTTAGATGATGATGGGAGGGGGGGATGTGAACGAGAGTCCCTCTAGACATAACAACACTAAGCCTAGCGTGAGAATCAAGGTTATTGTAACCAGAACTGATAAAGAATTGGCCGGGCTGGAGAGCTGGAGAGGAAGCCTGCGATTCAAGCTAATTGGAGAATGTGATTTATGACCGTTAATTGGAGGAGGGAATGGTGCTTTGCTACTATGTGCCCAGGGGAGGGGAATCCAGATTTTGGCTTCGATTATGCAGTGCCGATGTTATGCTACTCAAAATGAAGATTCTTTAAGGTAAACAATGCCTCGAAGTTCTTTTGAAGGGTTTCACCTGTCGGAAGCATGACATTCTGCATTGTTCGACTTACAACAGTTCATTGAGTGGATGTTCGGAGTTACGACGGCACTGGAAAAAGTGACCTTGGGCCGTTTTTCACGCTGACGACGGTGGCAGTGTCCCCCCGTGGTCACGTGATCAAAATTCAGAACGCTTGGCCACTGACTTGTATTTATGGCGGTTTTGCGGCATCCTGGAGGGGTCACGTGATCCCCTTCTGCGCAACTGCCTGACCAGCAAGGTCGATAGGGGAAACCAGACTCACTTAACGACCGTGTGGCTAGCTCAACAGCTGTAGCATTTCGGTTAACAACGGTGGCAGGAAAGGTCGTAAAATGGGGCGAGGCTCCCTTAAGGACAGTCTGGCTTATCAAAGGACACTTTGGGCTCCATTGTGGTCCCTTCTAGCACTGATGATGTTACGTAGTTTGGCTAATGAAATGTCTGTAAGAAAACAGCCCAGCTCAGAGAGGGCCAAGGACATCACAGTCGTCCTCCTCCTCCTGCTGTTCTAGCACTGATGATGCTACCCAGTTGGGTCATGAAATGTCTGCAAGGAAACAGCTAAGCTCAGAGAGGACCAAGGACCCCGCAGTCGTCGGTCTCCTCCTGCTCCTCCTGTTCCTCCTCCTCCTATACCCAGTCCCTTCTAGCACTGATGACGTTCCCTAGTTGGGTCATGAAACATCCACAAGAAAACCAACAAGCTCAGAGATCAATAAAGACTCCAGAATCCTCTTCTCTCTCCTCTTGGTCTCCCCCCCTTCATTCCTTTGCCTTCTCCTCCTCTTCCCCTTCCTTCTCCTCCTCCTCCTCTCTGTAAACCCTACTC